ACTGTAGCCTTGCCATGCCTAGGGCCCTAAGCCCTAAACTGGATTTCCAGCTCATGGGTACCTTTCTTAACTGTTTCATTAATACATACTTTTTATTTGCCTTCTCCATCCCACTACTGTGGACAAATAAATCAAGCACTGATAAAGCTTGGGCCCTAGAAGAAGTCACCTACTTATTTAGAAGTTAGTCACTAAAAGAAAGTCCTTTTTCCCACTTACATTCTCCAAAGGTGGATTGTGTCACAGGTCAGATGCTGTTGTCCACAAGGATGTGGCAGACAATGGGTAGGGTAACTGGGGACCTACAGGTGGTGTCCTTGCTGTGCTAGGTTCTGGCCAGAAATTGCTGCACAAGGCACCGCTAACAGAGATGAGGGGCATTACAGCAGTCATCTTCTCATCTGTCTCCCCAAGAATGCCATGTAAAGCTGGAAATAACTCTTAAAAGGCTCCTATCACACCTCAGTATTGGAGGGGAAGCTGACCATTCCTCAGATAAGGGCTCAGTCACTGGAAGAGCAGGACGAGACCATTCTGTGTATGGGGTGCTCCAAGGCTGTGGGTCTAACAAGTACATATAAGGGACACAGGTAGCCCCACACACATATACCAAGGAGCATCCAAGATATTGGGGTATCTGGCCCTCTGAGGACCTGAAATGTTCCTCGCCTTCAGTAACCAGCTGACACCCTCCTGAGTGTATTCTATGATTAATGATCTCATATATTTAGGGGCAATACAAGTCAATTCTATGTATGGCAACTTGGGACCTCTGAGAACCAGAGGAGTCCTTTCTGTGAATAAGAGGCTGAAATAAGCCTGAAGGGCAGAAAACTCTATTAGTCTCTGAGGATGCCTAGCTGGGGCATCTGGTTCCTGCCAAGATGGCAAACAGCACAAACCATTAATTCCCTTGCCCGAAAGGAATTCCGGAGAAACCACAGAGGGAAACAGGAGTTCCAGAAACTTGCACAGCTATGAAGACCCATAGGGAAATGGAAGACTGTCTTTAACTGGCCAGTATTTTGAGTGGTAGATGGCTAGAGGTAGCAAATACAGGATAGGTTAGAGATTTAAGTTCTGGCTCTTACCTCTCCTCCATGTTGCCTTGAGAGGGCCCTTGTCTGCCCTATCACTGCAGAAATCATCCCAGCCACGAGTACAGGTGTCTGGGGGGCTAGTGTCAGGGCAGCAAACAACCTGCTGGTGGTGACACCTAGGGAAATGACCTTGTCTGAGGGTTTAAAGATGAAACCCCTGCCATAGGAATTGTCAGGTGGTGTGATAGCAGATGGGACTGAGAGCTCTGTTTCTGTGGTGCCTGGGACTGTCCAATCTCTGGCTTGTCTCCCCACATATCCCCTAATCCTTTGAAGTCCAGGTGATTGAACAGAGTTGAGTCTGGCCTTCAGCCTTCCCTTAAGATGTTTTTCCAGCCAGAACAGCTGCTCATATCAGGGGAATATGCACTCAGCACCAAAATAACTAGACACTGGGACAGTATACCTCCCAGAGAAAAATAAACTGGATGTATTGTCTATTACTGCATAACAAATTACCCCCCAAACTTAGTAGCTTAAAACAACAAATCAATTTTCTCAGTTTCTGAAAGTCAGGAATTTGGGGGCAGTTTAGTCCAGTGGTCCAGGGTTTCTTCCGAGGTTTCAATCAAGTTGTGAGCCAAGACTGCAGTCAGCTGAAGGCATGACTTGACTGAAGGGCCCACTTTGAACATGGCACACTCATGGGGCTGTTGGTAGGAGACCTGAGCCTCTCCACGGGCCTCCTCACAGCACATGGTCCCAACAAACAGGTGAGAGACTATAACAAAGACAGAACCACAGTGTCTATTTATAACTTAACCTCAGAAGTGATATTCCATCACTTCTGCTGTGTTTTCTTGGTCACATAGACCAACCCTAGTGCAACATTGGAGGGAACTATACAGGAGGCATGGATTGTTGGGTGCTATATCAGAGGCTGCCTTCTACACTGGGTGACATACAATATCTAAAGCAGAAGTATTGAGACAGATGAATAATTTTAAATATAATAGATAATATAAGAAAGATAAAACAGAAACACAAGACATAAAAAACGCCCAAAGAAAATAGGCATGAGTATGACGGTAGAAAAAAAGGAACAGAATAACACTAACTGGAGAATATGAAATGAGATGTTAGAAGTTTTTTAATTCTTTTTGAAAAGATTTTATTTATTTTTAGGCAGAGGAGAAGGAAGGGAGAAAGACAGAGGGAGAGAAACATCAATGTGTGGTTGCTTCTTGCACACCCTCTACTGGGGACCTGGCCCGAAACCTAGGCATGTGCCCTTATCTGGGAGTTGAACCAGCGACCCTTTGGTTCACAGGCCAGCACTCAATCCACTGAGACACACCAGCCAGGACTGATGTAAGAAGTTTTAATGGTAATTACAAAAACAGAGCACAGAGACCCCCTCACTGGATTTTTTAAAAGGTCCAGTGGTATATACACACATACAAAGATTTAGAAATGTTGAAAATGAAGGAATGAAGAAAGGATACAGCAAGGGATTTGTAATTGGACCAAGGGGCCCCTGAAAATCAACAAGAAGAAAAATACTGGAATATGGGAACTGGCCTAATAGGAACATAGACATGAAGAAGCAATTTCATGAGGAAACCCAAAATCAAACAAGTACATGAAAAGTACTCAAAATCATTATCAATCATTTTGAAATACAAGTTAAAAAATTATGAAATTTGTACCAGATAGACTGGAAATTTTTATTCTTTTCAGTGCAGTGTCAGAAAGGAGACGGGAATGGAGCAGGTGTGCAAGATGGAGGGTGAAAGAAGGAGAAGAAAGGAGAGGGGAAGAGAGTGGAGAGGGGCAACTGAGTGAGCGGGAGGAGTGAAGCGGGAAGGATGGGCAGAGGGAGTGGGAGCTAAACTGGAAAATTTAGAATGCTGGGTAATGCTAACTGTTGACAGAGACAGGGGAATGTAAGCACCTTCATTTGTTGTCCCACTCATTCCAGATAACAATCTGGCTGGCACTGCTTACAAAAATTAAATATGTACATGTCCTATGCCCCAGCTTATTTTCTGAGTACACATCCAAAAGAAATTTTCACACTGGCCCATAAGGGAGCATTCACAAGGCATTATTTATCAAAATGGGGGTGTTGGAGGCAACCCAGTGTCTCTTGTTGGGAGCACCCAGGGATAAAATGATGCAGTGGATGTACACATTGGAGTTTATTGCAACCATTAGAAGCAACATATAAGCCCTGGCTGGCGTAGCTCAGTGGATTGAGCACGGGCTGCGAACCAAAGTGTCGAAGGTTTGATTCCCAGTCAGGGCACATGCCTGGGTTGCAGGCCATGACCCCCAGCAACTGCACATTGATATTTCTCTCTCTCTCTCTCTCTATGTCCCTCCTTCCCCTCTCTAAAAATAAATAAAATAAAATCTTAAAAAAAAAGAAGCAACATAGAGATTAGATGCACCCATGACAACACAGAGAAATGTTAACATAATGCTAGCTGGGGAAAAGAATATAACTACCATTTAATTAAGAGCATGGACAAAATGTGGATTTTATATGATATAACAAAAAAGATACACATTAAACCCAATAAATTGGTGAACTGTGGGAGGAAGAAAATGATATTCAGGTGCAGGAATAAAAGAATAAGTAAAATGAGATTTGCATGGAACAAAAATGACAATGTGTCATAAACTATGGAATATGATCAGAGGGCAGACACTTTGAAAGGCAAACAAGCACCCCCTTTTTTTGCATGAGGCTCAGATTCTCTGAGGGCTATCCAAGACCAGTATGTATGAGGACAATGAAATCTGTTTACATCCATCCTGGACATAGGTCTGAATATGGCAAAAGCCAGACAAGTTCATTTTGTGGATGCATGTGATACTGTACTCTGAAAGTTAACAAATCTAGTCTGTTTTGGGGGATGGGGCTGACCCTTAGAAAACTACACAAGTCCATTCTATGGATGAGAAATGTAGTCTTTGAAGGCAAACTAACCCATCCCTCCTGGATGGAGAGCTCAGAAACGAAGTCTGTCAAATCCATTCACTGCAAAGGTAGCTAAGACACGCTGAAGGCTGCACAAGACCAAATCGTGGGTAGTAGATTCAGGCACACCTTGCTTTGGATAAGTCTACTGTGTATTGTCAAAGTTCTTTCTGTGGATCAAGGGCTCAGTAGCCCTGAGTGACAGCAAAAATTGTTTCGTGGACTGGGAATTACTTCCTTCGGAGATTGGAGCATCCAGTTTTGTGGAAGGCATCTCACACAGAATACTGGTGGAGAAATCAAAAGACAGCCTTCAGGACGCTGTCAGATAAAGATGAGGGCTGAAGTCAGAAATGAGAAGGAATGATGCCAGGAAAACGGGTACCATAACAGGCGGCTAGATGTTAGGTACAAAGAAGAAAACGTAGAGGTCCGGATCAGACACTGAGAAAATGTAGGGTCTGATGTTAAGAACTATGAAGGGTCAGGGAAAGTGGGGGATTAAATATCGGGCCCTTGGGGTATAAACCATAGGGCCCTCAAAGGATATGAGGTTAGAGGGCTAGAAGGTGAAGGAGGTTATCAGAGGGCGGTAATGTCATCAGAGACATAAAAAAAAAAAGACGACTGAGATCCTGAGAAAGTCGTCAGAACCAATGGGAAAATGACGTCAAAGGAGTAAGGGCAAGAACAGAAAGGGATGTGTGAGAGAAAAGGTTCATGCTCATAAGGGATGAAGATGGCTGGGGCCGGAGGGATGCTTATGTCATTCTGCACAGACCACACAAAGCTCGCCTCGGTTCCAGAAACATAATGAGCACTTCGCTTCCTTTGCTCGGCGGTCCTTTCCTTCCACCCCTCCCCTCGCTGGCTTCAGCCAATCGGCGCGCGTGGGGGACGTTCCGTGACGTGTAAGATACGTACACTTTATTAAGCCTCTTCCCGCGCCCCAACCTCCTCAGTTGCTCTCCTCTTCAACGGTTGCTGTCTGTCTGGCCATTCTACGTAATTTCTAGGTAAGCGTAGTCTGACTTAAGAACCCTCTCCTCTCCTCTCGGGTGTGCGCCGCGCCGTCCTTGAGCAAGGCGCGCGAGTGGGAAGAGAAGCGGCTTCAGACACCTAGGGTTGGGCTTCTCTGGGGCGGGTGGGTACCGTGCTCCGAGGTTAAACTTTTGGTTTGGTGGGAAGTTGGCACATTGTATCCAAGCACCAAGAGTGCCAGGAGGGGCTGAAGGCATTGGTGGCCGGAGTGATCATGCGATGGCCCAGACTTGCGGGGTGGGGGTGGGGGGGTGCTTTTCCCACGTGACTACCGCCATCTTGTTCTGCGGGAACAGAGTGAAAGTGTGGGTGTTCTGGGCCTGCGCGGCGTCACAAAATGACTGGCGTGTTGGCAGGGGATGTGGGCATGCGCGGAGGAAGCCCTCAAATGGCTACCTCTCTGATCCTGTCCCACGGATTTCCGTCTTCTTGGTCCGGCATTTTCGTTTTCCCCTTAGTTACGTGTCTGTTTTTGTTGTCTCCTTTCCTATTTATCCTTTCTTCAACCTCTTTCTCCCTCCCACTGTTCTCCCACCCTTTTCCATATTCTTATAGGACTCAAATTCACTGCCATGTCCTCTGAAGAAGGGAAGCTCTTTGTTGGAGGGCTCAACTTCAACACCGATGAACAAGCCCTGGAAGATCACTTCAGCAGCTTCGGGCCAATTTCTGAGGGTGAGACGTGGGCCAGACTCATAATGGATGGGTATGGTAGAGGAAGTCTGGGGCCCCCGGGTTTTGGAGAATCTGATAACTTTTCATTGAGTCTTAGTGGGAGGGGTCCGTTCTCCACCTGATACCTGTCACTTTTCCTCATATCTATCTTCTCTTTCTCTTCCCCAGTGGTCGTCGTCAAGGACCGGGAGACTCAACGATCCCGAGGTTTTGGCTTCATTACCTTCACCAATCCAGAGCATGCCTCAGATGCCATGAGAGCCATGAATGGAGAGGTGAGGCCTTCTACCTGCATTAGGGCCCTGCCCCCATCTCTGCCACTTCCACTGTTCTTTCTGTTTTTCCCTCTGTGTCTGCTAGGGGCAGCGCGGCCACCAAACCCCACGGTGCCCACTCACAGGAGCGTGACTGCCTTCTGTTCTAGGGGGTGGAGGGCAGCGGCAGACAGAGCCGGGCTGCCTGGGAGGCGACGACTGGTCCTGCATGAGGCCGAGAAGCCACCCGTGGATGGTTGACCTTGACCTGCCCTGGGCTTAGGTAGTAGAGTCTGCAGACCTGTGGGCCTGGCCCGGAGAGGACCTCGTGAGTCTTCTGGGATGGACTCTGAAGCCTCAAACCAAGAGAGGTGTCTGTCTAGCCCTTGTAGTTGGGCAGCTTAGAGGAGTGGGGAGGAGAACTCACCTGAGATCAGTCAAGATGTAAGTAGTAGCAGGGGAACATGGTGGATTCAGGTCATTTTGTGGGATTCTGTAGCTCCTGATAAGGCCATTCTGGTCAAAGGAGCTTGTTGTGAACATGGCACCCAGAATCTGGTGCCCAGCAGGAGTTTCTGGGTTCTTTTGCCCACCTGCCCCGCCCACTCTTTCCTCACCACTTCCCTGGGTGACCACCAAGCCATCCTCTTTGTGTCTCCTCATACCTAGTCTCTGGATGGTCGCCAGATCCGTGTGGACCACGCAGGCAAGTCAGCCCGTGGAACCAGAGGGGGTGCCTTTGGGGCCCGTGGGCGTGGTCGAAGCTACTCCAGAGGTGAGTACAATGGTAAGTTTGATCACAAGGTCTGAGGGAAAACCAACTGTTGGTGGTGTGTGTCTGGACAATTGCAATTTAAAATAATTGTTTGTCGTAGGTGGTGGGGACCAGGGCTATGGGAGTGGCAGGTACGACAGTCGACCTGGAGGATATGGATATGGATATGGATATGGAAGGTCCAGAGACTATGGCGGCAGGTGGGTAACCAAGGGGTTTGGAGCACTCTGGTGGCACTGCCTTTCTCTTTAAGAACTGGGCTGCTTGGGTGTTTTTTACTGTGGTGTTACTGTTTGTTTTACAAATTATAATGAAACTAAAAGAAATATGAAGTATAATACTTTGAGTTACGTGTAATGCATTGGCAAATTGTAAGATACTATAATTGCAGTATGTGATGATGTGTATGTTGTACCGTGTTGGTTAGTTGTCTATTGCAGTAATGTTTAGTATGATTTAATGTACAATGTAACTTATAAGCCATATAATTATGTGATTTCTATATAATGTTCGTATGCTTCATATGTCTTGTTTTGCAAGTATTAAAGTTTTATAATGTGATGAAATATGTAAATACGGTTTTTACTATTATCTGGGGGTATCTGATACATTCCCGCAACTGTTTTTTCCCCAGAAGCCAGGGTGGTTATGACCGCTACGCAGGAGGAAATTACAGAGACAATTATGACAACTGAGATGAGGCATGCGCACCTAATGTAGGTGAGGCTTGTAGGTTGCCACTGAACAGACCCTGTTGTGTTCCCTCACCTTTACCCTGCCTGCATGTATGTCACCTGGCCCACCTGACAGCATTCCTAGGCCTCCCTTGATCTCAGGTGCTTGTCAGGGCTATTCTGCCTTCCAGGGTATAGGGGAGGGGTATCTGAAAACCTTGTACCCCTGTAACCTGCTGGGCATGTAGATGAGGGTGTGTAGTTGTGAAGTCCTCAGTGTCCTTAACAACCCCAGGAAGTGAGCGTGTCACTTGTTCCTTCCTGGCATCACAATTCTTCCTCTTCTTACTGTTCTCAGATACACAAGGAATAAAACTTCTGATCCAGGATCGTCCTTCCAATGGCTGTATTTATAGAGTTTTGGAGCTACACTGAAACATCTGTTTTAGTACATAAACATATTTTTGAATTGAGCTCCCAAGGTAGCTTGTTGAAGACCTTTTAGAAAGCTCCGTGTGTTTTTATTTTTAGTTTTCTCTCCCGTTTCAAGACAAATTCTGAGGCATTTAGTTTGTGCTCTCAGGATTGGTTCTGGCAGTTTGACCAGACTCTCCCCCAGAAATCATGTGCATCTAGGGACATTTTAAAAACTCATAGACAGTGTTTACCATGTTTAGGAAGCAATTTCCAAATGTAACTATAAGAAATTAAGAACATGATTACTTAGAGGTGGTGTTTTTTATTGAAATCACTGACCTGATATATAGATGTTTCTTAAAATACTTGTGAATGTCATATTTTTTTAATACTGGAAGAAAAATATTCTGTTGTGTTTTCATGTAGCATTTAGGATGTCCTTCATGGAGCTGATTAAAAAGATGAAACCTGAAAAACAAATCGATATTGATAGTGCTTTTATCCTTACTCAACCCAGTTTGTAATGTAAGAACAGGGAAGATCACTGGGAAGGGAGTCTTTGAGCAAAGGATTTAGTTGAGGGGTGGGGTGGGCAGGGATTGCCAAAAATTTAAAGTTTGAGATTGATTTGGGTCTATGCAAGCACACCATAGAGGTACTGTGGGTTCATTCTACACCACAGCAGTAGGAGTGAGAGTCTCACTATAAAGAGTCACACCCTTTTTGCTGGTGGAGGGCTTTGGTTTCCATTTGTTAAGAAAAGATGTGTGAGGTGCAGTAGAATGGGATATGCTTGAGGTGAAGTCCCCTAATAAACCAGAATTGGGTTTCTTCATGGTCCCATTGTCTTGATCTTGCCAGCATTTCCTGTTGAGGATAAAGCCAGTTTATTAGGCATATGGAGCCATTGAGAACAGTTAGCCACACCTTCCACCACAGGGGGTCATAAGGTGGTGGCAGAGGCCTGGACTACTTTTGTGCTTCTAGTTAATGTGAGTTCGTTCCTCAATTCTCCCTTTAGTCAGGATTCTGGTGGCTGCATTGGAATCCCATAGGGTTTAGCCTTTCATCCTAAATTTCTAATCAGTTGTGTCCATGGCTTCCACCTGACTGATGTTGAGCTTAAGTGCCAATAGATTGAAAGTTTCAAAACAACCTAAACTGCCTTATTTTCAGATTACTGGGACTTAACATTAACAGACTGATCATGTTCCCTCAAAATGTGTTGGAACCCTCCCTGATATAATGGTATTAGGAAGAGAGGTCTTGGGGGGTTACTTGGATTAAATGAGGTCATGAGGGTGGGGCCCTCATGATGATAGACAACTCACTTCCCTGCTCTGCTCCATGTGAGGACACAAGGCATTCTGGAATAGGGCCCTCACCAGAGCTGAACCAGCCTGATACCTAACTTCCAGCCTTTGGAACTGAGAAATTTCTGTGTACAAGCCACCCAGTCTGGTAGCAAACTAGACTGACAGCATGGGTCCATGTATTATGAGTACCAGTATTGGCAGCCTGGTTCCCAGGTCCACCAGCTAGTTGGGACAGGCCCCAAGGACCCTTCCTCCCATCCAGATGGTCCTGCCAAGCCCACAGCAAGGTCCAGAGAAGGGTGTTAGGTGCTGGACCTTCCAGGACCCACGGCAGTGAACCACTATTAACTGCCTTGTGAGGGGGTGAGGAGAGGCTTCTCTGTTGCTCCTGAGGGAATAAAATGTCCTTACCACCAGTGTGGCCTAAGAATAGAATCCCATAATTAACTACCAAATTCCTGTAACAAAATGACCCCCCACGTGACATCAATAAAGACCGTAAGTAGCCTCCTATATCTGAGTGACACCTTGATCAGCTTGTTCTGCTCTCCTGGTTTAAGGTGCCTTGTAGTCCAGCCCAGGGAGGCCCAATCTCTATTTGCTCTAAGGAATGGGTCCTAGAGAACAGTTGGGTTCTTTTTGCAGTGAAATTGCTGATAAAATTTCCTGACAAAAATGCCCATTAGTCCTCTGCTTAACCAGGATCTCACTAATGTGCATGTTTCCCCAAGAACCTGCCAAAACCAGAAACTCCCATACGCTGGCCTTGGGAACTTGTGTCCCAAGGCTTGTGAAGACCAGATTCCTGGCCTGCAAATACTTCAAGTTTTTTAAATATGTTTATTGATTTTAGAGAGAGAGACAGACATCGATCGGTTGCCTCCCATACCCACCCTGGCCGGGAATTGAACTTCCAACCTTTTGGTGTACGGGACAACGCTCCAATCGACTGGGCCCCACCGGCGAGGGCTGCAAATACTTTTCAAGCCCTGGATCGAGCTCTTACCAAAAGCTATCTACAAACATCCCATAGACAACCCCTGCACTTCAAGTTCCAGAGTAAATCCCAAGCCCTGACCCTCCCACCCCAGGCAAGCTGAATCACTGTTGCCTTAGGTTCAACATGTATAAAAGGAATAGTGCTCACCTGATGGTGGGGTCAAGGATGTTAAATGCAACATGTATAGAACAAGGTAAATCCCTGATACCCCCATATCCTCCCCCCCATTGTAGATGTAGGGGTGTAGAAAACTTTCAAATAGCCTCTTAAATAAAAATGCTGTGAATACTTAAGGTATGTCAAAAAAAAAACATTGGACAAAGATCAGTAGCCAGTGTTCTTATCATTCCTCTGCTTATCAAGACAAAATATTCCCGGTTCTGCCCTGGCTGGTGTGGCTCAGTGGATTGAATGCCAGCTTGGGGTCACTGGTGCGATTCCAGGTCAGGGTACATGTCTGGGTTGTGGGTTAGGGGTATGCAAGGCACATTGCTGTTTCTCTCACTTCCTCCCTTTCCCTCTCTGTAAGTAAAATCTTGAAAAAAAAAAAAAACCACACATGCCAGGTCCCTGTCCAGCTGCATACCTCTTCTATCTCCCCCCGCCCCCGGGCTAACATAAGGATCATGATCCCTTGTAATTCATCGTGCCCCAAGATCTGAAAAACCAGAAGGGTGTTCCATCTCAGTGTGGAATACACATACAGTATACTGGAGAAATGTTAGTGGTTATGGAGAGCCTCCCTAGAACCTGTGGGAGGGGGGACTTCAACATAGAGTGAATGCACAAAGACAATTAAGGCTTCTAAATTGTTACACGTAATCTGTGGAGCCCTGACCGGTGTGGCTCAGCTGGGTATCTTACTGCAAAGTGAAGGGTTGCCGATTTGATTCCTGGTCAGGGTACATGCCTGGGTTGTGGGTTCAGTGGGGCATGTGTGTGAGGCAACCAATTGATGTTTCCCTCCCTCCCCCTCCCTCTGGAAATAAATTTTTTTGTAGTTTTTAAAAATTTATTTTTTAGAGAGAGGGGGAGGGAGGGAGAAAGGGAGAGAAACATCAATGTGTGGTTGCTTCTTGTGTGCCCCCTACTAGGGACCTGGCCTGCAACCCAGGCATGTGCCCTGACTGGGAATGGAACTGGTGACACTTTGGTTGGCAGGCCAGCATTCAATCCACTGAGCCACACCAGGTAGGGCTAAAATCTTTTTTAAAAGTGAAAAGATCTTAAGACACTTACTTAAAAAAATACCATGGCATTGTTCTGCATAGACATTTCTAATATGCCATCAAGTTAGATTTTTAAACTCAATTTTAAACTTTCTGTAAGCAAAACTCATCTCTGAAAGTTTCCTTTACTCTCTAGTTCTTAATAGTTTTCAAAGCACAGGATTTGTGATCAATTTTTAACTTTATGACTGCAGTCCACGGTGATAAGTACATTTTTCTTGAGGTACAGTCCACCCATTATGAATGAAATTTGCAAAGTTCCCTGATGTTTCTTAGTTTATTGTACTTTAACAAAGTCAGCTAGACTGCAACCATTCATATGCTATGGAGGCTGCAGTTTGAAAAAATGCTGTTTAAAATTGTTGAATCTGGGTGACTGGTACATGAAAGTTCATTCTATCAATACTAGTGTAAGTTTGAGATGTTCCATAATAAAAAGTTAAAAAGAAAACTGTTTGAGGTGTGGTTTGTTGGACTTCCACATTGGCATGGGAGGTAGGTAGCTGTCATCAGTTTTCTGAAGGCCTGCTTTGTGTCCCAAAGCCCTCTCCATAGTTGCAGGCATTTCTATTCCAAATGGGCCTCAAGATACCATGGTGTATAAATGCTAGCTTCTATTTCTTTCTTTGTTTTAAAGATTGTATTTACTTATTTTTAGAGAGGATAAGGGGAGGAGAAGGAGAAGGGAAACATCAATGTGTGGTTGCCTTCTCTCGAGTGCCCCCTACTGGGGACTTGGACCACAACTGAGGCATGTGCCCTGACTGGGAATTGAACCGCAACCGTTTGGTTCACAGGCCCACACTCAGTCCACTGAGCTACACCAGCCAGGGCTATTTCTTGACATCTGATACTCCTTAAGTTAATATTTTCCAGACACTGGCCCTAGAACCGCTTCCTGCTTCCCCACCCATCATGACCCTTCTAGCTTCTCCAAACGGAAGGAACATCTGTTTGCCCAGCACCAGAGGTCCTGCCTCCCCTCCTCCAAAACCCAGGGCCTCTAAAAACCTGTCTCTTCACCTGTAATGTGGGGTATAATACCCATTAAATGAGTCAAGACATGGGGAACATCTAGAACAGTGTCTGGTAGATGTAGTCAGTAATGTTATATAGTGCCAGATAATAACAGGGACACAGCAAAGAATACAACATATTTCTTTCCCTCAAGAATCATGCATGTATTAGAGGGGTCCACAGACAATAAAGTAGTAAACTGGTGCATAAGGTAACACGAGTGTCAAGCATTAAGGAAAATAAAGGGAGGGGTGGAGAGTGATGGGATGTGGTATTTATTTTTCACGAGGTGGTCAGGGAAGGCAATTCAGAGGAGGAGACTTTACAATAGAGACCTCCAGACAGAAGGAGAGCAAACGAGGAGGATATCTGGTGTAGGACAATGGTTCCGCCACCGTGCTCTGTGTGCCTCGCACGTCTCCACATAAGCCAGGTAGGCAAGCTGATCTAAGTATTGGCAGAACACTCTGTGATCTTCAGAACACAGAGCACTAGAGGCTTGTGAGGAAATGCTTTGAGGCCAGCTCTCATTAACCTCCCCATCTAGCAAAGAAGCTGTCATGAGACAGTTTCTCATTGCCTGAGGTTCTGATGAAGTCAGAGGTGTTCTAGAACTCTCCTCCCCCCGACTTGAGGGTATAGAACTGGTTAGTCTGGAGCGAGTTCCTCTGCAGCAGGGTGCTGTAGCACTCATGCTGTAGTGATCTGGCCCCTTACATTTCAGTGCTACCTCCACGAGGAACACGAGCTGGCATCTGAGACTATTCTTGCTTTTGCTATGTAAGTAGCAAACACCCGAATCGAACAAGGGCTCGTTTCTTTACTGGCCAAATCAGTCAGCCTTTCCCAAACCTGGGAAAGAATTACAGGCAGAAGGAAAAGCAAGCAAGTACAAAGGCCCTGAGGTGGGAGTGTGGTTGGTGTGTGTGAGGGAACAAGGTCAGTGCAGCAGGAGCAGAGAGAGCCAGGGGCAGGGGGCAGGAAATGAGGTCGGGGAGCTGACAGGGGCCTGGTATGTGGGGCCTCACTGGCCATGGGGAGGACTTTGGCTTTTTCTGTGAGAAGGCTGGAGCCACAACATGGGTCTGAGCAGAGGAGGGCCTTGGGCTCCCTTGGGCTGTAACAGGACCCACTGGCTTCTGTGAGGACACATGAGGGGGTGAGGGCTGAAGCAGTGAGGAGGACACTGCAGTAGTCCAGGCAGTGGAGGCAGTGGAGGCAGTGGACATGGAGAGGAGTCGGATTCTTGATAATTCTGAAGGTGGAACTAATAGTATTTGCTTGCAGATCAAGTGAGGAAGGTGAGGGGAAAGAAGGTGCTTGTTATGAATCCACACTAGAGGAGCTCACACGGAATAATTTGGCAGTTGGTGTTAAGTAGAGTAGTGATGCCCTGGGCAGGTGGCTTGGTTAGAGCATCTTCCCATACAACAAAATGGTTATGGGTTCGATTCCTTGTCAGGGCACATACCTAGGTTGCAGGTTTGATCCCTGGTCAGGGGGCATGCAGGAGGCAAATGATTGATTTTTCTCTCTCCCTTTCTCTTTCTCAAATCAAAACAAACAAAAAAAGACATATCCTCAGGTGAGAGTTTAAAAACAGTGTAGTAATTAAGAACAAGGATTCTGGAACCAGGTGACCTGGGTGTAACTTCAACTCCATTGCTTACTGAGTGCTCTTGGGCATATAACTGTTTGCCTCAATTTCCCCATGTATGACACAGGATAATTGTACCAATTTCACAGGGTTGTTGTGAGGATTAAATAAGGTTTTCTATGTCTGCAAAGTACTTAAAACAGTACCTGGCACAGAGTGCTTGGTATTAGTAATATTACTGTGGGGTGAGTTGACATGTTTACTGCATGAGTACATAGAAGAGAGCGTTCCAGATCCCAGGAACAGTTTGTGCAGTTTTCAAAGGATGTGCAATTAAGTCAGTGTGACTGGAACATACCCTGATTGAGGAAGAACAAAGGATGAAGTTGGAGAGTAGGCCTATGAGATCAGCTTCTCCTCAGAGCAGCTGGGGGCCACTGTGAATTTCAGGGTGGATCTACCAGTGCAGGAGAGAGGTTGGGAGAGAGACAGGAGAGAAAATTGATTTAGGACTTGATGCAGGAGCATGTACAGAGAGAAGAGAGAAAGGAATGGGCACTACTGTAAATACTGCTGGCTGGTTACCATGTGGTTTCTGGTGCCCAGGATGAGAAATTTAGTCCAGTTCTACTTCCTGCCTGGTCCAACTGCTAGTTCTAAAATATTCTACATCTGTGACCATGGGAAGTAAACCCCTTTAGGGGTCACTTCCCTCATCTTCAAAGTGGGGTTCGATGTTGCACCTACTTCATTAGGGTGGCCATGATAATTACCTTGATGGATGTTATAAGAGCTCAGTAAATGCAGGTTATTACCAAAAGCAAGCGGGCTTATCCCAGGAACACAAGGGTGGCTTAACATCTGAAAAGCAATGAGATGTAATCCAGTGTATTAGCAGAAAAAAAAATGGGAAGAACTAGGGGCTGTACCCATTTCACTATACTACCTGGGACTGAGGTACCAAACCCAGGGTCCAGTCTTTCCCCGGGCCCACAGTGTGGCCCTGAACCTCTCACTGAGTCAAAGGAATTGCAAACCAAAGAGCAGAGCAGCCCTAGTTCCAGCCCCGCAAAGTGATTTCTTCCCCTCTGAGAATTGGTCACTGACTGGCCTCACTGGCCTTATCCACACATTCGGCATCCAGAGCTGTGTCTCTGGCTTCTTTTTATTCTGGTTCCAGCTTAAACTTATTTCTCATCCCTTTCCCCATCCCACAGCTCAGCAACACTAAGGGAACTATTTTAATGACAGTAAATACCAAATTCTAAACGATCTTCATTATTGCTTATTTTTTCAGTTAGAAGGGCATTTCCATGAGTGGAGACCATTTGTCTGAGTTACTGCTGTTGCCCCAGTGCCTGGCACCCAGTAGGGGCTTGATCACTATGTGTTGGAAGGCTAGCTCCCTGTTTCAGTTTGCTGGGGGTGTTTGAGTGGTTTGTGAGGCTTTTCCTAACTGCAAGAATCTTGTTTATGACTCATGCCATGGAGAGTTATCATCATTCAGATTTTGGGGACCATGAGAACTTTGGCTTCAGAGGCTAATGTTCTCCTATTAGGAAATGGTAAAATGTCCAACGCCCACTTGTCCCATATTGGAAGAAACTTCAGGGATGAGATAAATAAGGACTTAGCATTTACACTCCAGTTATACCTCAGTCCCATGTCTCCCCCAATTACTCTCTGGCCTTGATTCTTGTCACCCCCAAGCTACCCAGGCTTTCCCTCAAATCATATTTGTTCCTAGGATAGACCCCAACTTCAGGTTTCATTTTAGCCTGTGTTAGTAATAAAAAGTGGACATAGCTCATGTGGTCCAGTGCTCGCCTTTGCATTTCTGAACTCTGGGGGCCAAATAGGCAGGAGGTGTATGAAGGAAGGAGTCCAGGACAGACACGGCCCTGCCTGTTTCTGCCACTATTTGAGTCACTATTGTGATGTGGTATTCTCTTCAAACAGCTCTGGCTTACCTGTCTTTTCTGTCCAAATCTGTTTTAGTTTGTTCATTTGGCTAGGACCCTCAACTGTCATTCTGACAGTGAAATAGCCCTGATCCTGTTAGAGTGAATAGGACCTGTGGTCCCCTATGGGCTTGAGCTTCTTTTCCAGAGGTCATGAGATGGTAACCAAGGTCACTCACAATCTCCAGGAACTGATTCTCATGACTTGATACCACAGGCCTGAGACTCTTTTCCCCACCCACTGACTTGCCATTCATGGTGAGAAACTCTGCCCCTTCTCCCCAAACTCCCAACAAACTGAAAGTTGTCTTCTATCATCAGCTTATTATTCAAAACCTATTTTTTAATCTTCTCCCAAGGATATGTTTGTTGATTTGAGAGCGGAAAGGGGAGTGGAGGGAGAGGGGGAGAGAGAGAGAGAGACACTGACTGGTTGTTCCTGTATGCACTCCTACCAGGGATCAAAACTAAAACCTAGGTATGTGCCCTAACTGGGGATCAAACCTGCAACCTTTTTTGGTGTATGGGACTACACTCCAACCGGCTGAGCCACTCAGCCAGGGCAAATCCTATTTTTAATCCAGTGAGAGTGTGTAAAAGCTTAAGAAGAAAAACTGAAAAAATGCAGAGCACCTAATAGGTGAAAGAAACAGTTGTGGTCATTCTTTTTTTTTTTAATTTTTAAAAGATTTCATTTATTTATTTTTAGACAGAGGGGAAGGGAGGGAGAGAAACATCAGTGTGTGGTTGCCTCTCACGTACCCTCTACTGGGGACCTGGCCCACAACCCAGGCATGTGCCCTCACTGGGAGTAGAACCGGTGACCCTTTGGTTTGCAAGCCGCTGCTCAATCCACTGAGCCACACCAGCCAGGGCGGTCATTCTAATTCACATTAGTTCTGCACCATATCTACCCTCTGGCAGATAGATCTATTAATGGGAAAAGTTTTTAAAACATCTAACAGTAGCCAACACTTAGTGGGTATTTCCTCTGTTCCAGATGTTAGTCTAAATTTTACAAGTATTAACCTCATTTAGTCCTCCCAATAACCCTATGAGGCAGTGTTTTTAGAGGGGGAGACTGAGTCACAAAGGAGTTAAGTGACTTGCCCAAATACACAGAGCTCCAGGTTGGCAGAGCCTGTGGCAGTGATCAAGGTATACTGCCTTGTACACATTATTTTACTACCTCTCAGAATAATAGCAAACTATTCACGAAACGGGTCTTATGAACACTTCTTTTTATCCTCGCCTGAGGACATGCTTACTGATTTTACAAAGAGGGGAAGGGAAGGAGAAAGAGAGGGAAACATCACTGTGAGAGAAAAACATCAATCCATTGCCTCCTGTATGGACTCCAACTGGGGACAGACCACACCAGCAAACTAGGCATGTGCTGTGACCAGGAATCGAACCAAACCTGTGACCTTTCAATTTACAGGACAACACTCCAACCAATTGAGCCACACCAGCCTGGGTATGAACACTTTTTATGCATTAGTTAATTTATAACAACCCTATAATTGGGTTGTTTTATCTAGTATCTTATAGCCTTATAGGAATGAGGTTTTAAAAAGTTTTTGAAATTTTAACATATAGATATTATAAAAACAACAAAAGAATCAACTCTGGTAGTGAGACAGTAAATCTCCCTGGCTTCTCTGACTTTCCTGTGACTTCTTCCCATCATTTGTCTTTGGAAGGAGAGTGGTGGGATGAAGGGCAGGGCTCTGTCCAGGGAGGGTCAAGGTGAATGGGAAAGGCACTGATCATAGCACCCTTTATGGTGAAATGAACATGGAAAAAAACCCAATGCTGGTCACAAATAGGGAACCAGTTTAATAAAAATGTCACTCTTGAACTCTCTGAGCTTCAGATTTTATCATCTGGAAAGTGGGGATAGTCAGTCATAGGTCCCAAAACACTCAGTTATCAGGATTAAATAGATTAATACATATAAGTCACTTTGAACAGTGTCCAGCACATTGTCCAATAAGTTATGCATTTGTGCAGTGAAATAGTTTATTCTTCAGCAATAATGAAATAGAAGAGTATTTAATATCCTATAAAGACACCAGTCGCTTAGTTACATGGCAAGGGAGGTGCCAAATCCATAAAACACAATGTGGTCTATTTTTATTAGAACACAAAAAAAGGGCAATACATTTTTGGACGTGTCTCCTCATTTCAGGTGGCTTTAGAACATTTTTCAGGTTGTTGTATTTGTGATAAAAATACTGTAATAACAGTTTTGAGAATTGTATCAGTTGATGTTAAGATCCAATAGGAAGCTACTAAACCTTGTATTTCAACTTTGTAAATTGTATATCCTGACCACGTTAAGATGAATAGAGAGGTGGTTTCCTGTTGAAGTCGCAATAAGGATGATTCAGATAGGCTTCTGGGATTGTTCCGCCTAATTATTTAGTGATTCACGCCCATACCAAGTTTCCTGGAAGCACCAAGCCCAACGCCACACCCATCCGGCGCTGCGCGCGCGCTGGCACATACACACACTCCCACTCTCCTCAAAGAACCTACTCTTCCCCTCCTGGGGGTGTCTGGAGGCCCATCAATTACTCTAAGAACTGATGAACTTTGTAGGGCCTCTGCATGTGTGATTATTTTATTCTCTGCTTCAAATCTTGCTTGGCCAAGATTGTGCTACTAAAAAGCCGCTTATACACCGCTCCTTTACAAGAAAATGTTTACTTTTTTTGAAAGTCGTATATCTGATTTTTAGCGAGTGCTTCGCATACTCGCCCCTGTCCCTATGGCCATTGGACATTATTCTTGTGTATACAAAAAGTGCCTTTAAGCACGGGGTGAATTGAATTTAAGGGGAGGAGCCTCCGCCCTGGTGACGGAAGCTACTGTACCTTAGAGCGCCTGCGTAGGTCTCCCACGCTATGGGGAAGATTCCCATCCATTCGCTCTACGCTTGGCAGCCCTTCCTGGCAGCAGGCAGCCATCTTGCCGGGAGCCTGGGAAAGGGAGAGGAGAGACAGAAGGAAAGGGCGACACTGGTCTCAGGGCCGCCCTGGGGGCCTCAAGAGCCGGAGGCAGCCCCGGAGGTGGTCACTGATCTGGGCCCTGTTCTTAGACCCGAAAAGGGAAGGCGGGCGGTGGGGGCAAGATGGGTGGGGACAGCCCCCTAGGATTGCTAGACTGGGGGAGGGGCGTTGCTATGGCGACTGGGGAGGGGCGAAGTCAGATCAGAATCCCTGCTGTGAGCCTTCCGGGAGCTCCCAGAGCAGGGCTGGGGTGTTGACCATGCTAACAGCCGGGTGGGATTTGACATATCGGCGTGGAGGGACTCAGTGTCTGTGGAAATGATCACCTGGCAGAAGGGGCGGAACTAGATCCCTTCACTTGAGACGCTGACATTCCAGGCCCTTGTCCTGCAGGCGCCCGCGGGCGGATACGGCGGAAGAGGAGGCCGGGTAATGGCCGCGGTGTGGCAGCAGGTCTTAGCAGTAGACGCGAGGTGAGACGTGGGGTCAGATCCCAAGGGAGCGGAAACTACTGTGGTGCATGCGCAATGGTGATAAGTGAGGCTGGGCGGGGAAGTTTCTGTGGCTGCGTGAGCATGCTGGGGAAATGCAGTCATATATGGGCATGCGCAAAAAGTGTGTTATTAGAACCTTTGGGTGTGGGGGAGGTGATGGAGCTCACGCTGGTGACATCCTATTTCCCACCATTGCTCGCCAGAGTTAATCTTACTACCATCATTTCTCTAGTCTCACCCCATCACCATCCCATACTGATCCCTTCCATTGCCCCACACTAACCATCACCATGTCAGACTGACCCCTACTATTGTGTACATTGACCCAGCCACCCCATATCGAATTAAGCAAAGCTGCAGACTGCCTCCATCATCCCCATACTGACCTCATCTCCATGTCCATTCTTAGTAAAGACACACTCGCATCCCATTACCAGAGGAACCCCCATCACCACTGCTGATCACTTGCCATACTGACCCCTACCTGCCACACACCTCATTCTCCTTCCCTATCCCCTGAGCTGATTGATTCCCTCTGTCCTGTGCCTGCTGCTCGCCTGCCTCCTGCCATCGCAGGTACAACGCGTACCGCACACCAACGTTTCCACAGTTTCGGACACAGTATATCCGACGGCGCAGCCAGCTACTACGGGAGAATGCTAAGGCTGGGCACCCCCCAGCACTGCGTCGGCAGTACCTGAGGTTACGTGGGCAGCTGTTGGGCCAGCGCTACGGGCCTCTCTCCGAGCCGGGCAGTGCTCGTGCCTATAGCAACAGCATCGTCCGCAGCAGCCGCACTACCCTTGACCGCATGGAGGTGAGCTCCCTCCACACCACCTACCATGCATACTACCTGCCTTCATGTATATTCACGCAACAGACTTGTCAAGCACCTGCTATGTGCAACGCATTGTTCCAGACTCTTAGGATGAGCAGAGGGCAAAAAGAGATAATATATGAGATAAGTCAGTAAATGGACAATAAATAAGATAAACAAGGTGATAAGTATACAATAAAGATAAATAGGTGCCCTGGCTGGCGTAGCTCAGTGGATTGAGCGTGGGCTGTGAACCAAAGTGTCGCACTTTCGATTCCCAGCCAGAGTACATGCCTGGGTTGCAGGCCATGACCCCCAGCAACCACACATTGATGTTTCTCTCTCTCTCTCTTTCTCCCTCCCTTCCCTCTCTAAAAAATAAATAAATAAAATCTTTAAAAATATATAAATAGGTCAATAAACATAGCAAACCAAATAAACAAGTCAATAATTACCATGGCTTATAGTGAGGCATGCTAAGATACAAAAATAAAGTAGACTGGGAGAACAAATCAGGACTGGTGCAGGAGATAAAGGGAAGCTACTTTTTATGGGTATGAAGAAGGAAATCCTCTGTGAGGAGTTGAAAATTGAGCTGAGACTTGAATGAAGCAAGAGACTGAGCTGCATGGTTTTCTGGAAGGCATTCACTCTTTATCTACTGAGTGGGGCAAGGGTGGGAGAAAGCTAACTAATGCAGAGGCCACCACAACACAGGTGATGGTGGTGGCACTGGATGGGGTGAGAAGGGATCTGGTCCTGGATATATTTTGAATGCTCCAGACCTCATAGGTTCTTGAGGGCTGTTTGCAAGATGTGCCCACCCTGACCCTCTCTGTTCACAGGACTTTGAGGATGATCCTCGGGCCCTGGGGGCCCGTGGACACCGCCGTTCAGTCAGCCGAGGCTCCTACCAGCTACAGGCACAGATGAACCGTGCCGTCTATGAGGACAGGTAAGCACCAGGGCTGAGGGTTTGTAAGGAGGAGAGGAGCCATGGGCAAAGGCAGGCTGAACACTAGTACCTTCCTCCTCTCACCTCCTACTCCTGTTGGGGCCCAGGCCCCCCGGCAGTGTCGTGCCCACATCAGCAGCAGAAGCAAGTCGAGCCATGGCTGGAGACACATCGCTGAGTGAGAACTATGCCTTTGCGGGCATGTACCATGTTTTTGACCAGCACGTGGATGAGGCAGGTGAGCCAGTAGATAGCAGGTCCCATCACCATGAATTTTCCCCAGTTGTAACAACCACCCAGTATATCCTTTTCTGGAACACAAAGTCTCTGGCCCAACTGTGAGGGAGGAATTATCCATGAAACCTTTCACAAACCTAAAAGCCCTCTACAAAGTTGTCTGCAAAATCTCAGGTATTTTGTCTACCATAAAGGGGCTCGGCATCTTAAAAAATCCCTTTGGAGAGGCTTCTGGGGTCACAAGTCACTTGAACAAGTTGAAAGCTTTTGCTGCACAGAAATCCTCTTGCAAAGGACAGACCGGGTCTGGCAAACTGCTAAGACCTTGGGAATTGTAAAGTGCTTGCTGAGATGTGGAGGCCTTTTCACACTGTGGAACTCTTGCAATCCATACAGCACCTGCTAAGATGTAGGAAGCTTTTGGCAGAGGGCTTTCTGGGGTTCCAGCTTCCTTTCTCAGTGAAGGAAAGCCCTTTGGTTAGACCACTGTGCCTAGTGCAGTGGGTTCCTCCCCTCAGCTCACACGTCAGAGCCTTTTATAAACAAAAAGCATCTGGTGAGTGTACTGACTCCCACAAGTGGCTCCTTGGCATTGCAGTCCCAAGGGTACGCTTCGCCAATGACGACCGGCACCGCCTGGCTTGCTGCTCCCTTGATGGTAGCATCTCACTGTGCCAGCTGGTGCCTGCTCCACCCACCGTGCTCCGAGTGTTGCGGGGCCACACCCGAGGTGTCTCCGATTTCGCCTGGTCCCTCTCCAATGACATCCTTGTGTCCACCTCACTCGATGCTACCATGCGCATCTGGGCCTCTGAGGACGGCTGCTGCATCCGGGAGATCCCTGACCCTGATGGCGCTGAATTGCTCTGCTGCACCTTCCAGCCAGTCAACAACAACCTCACTGTGGTCAGGCTCCAGGGCGCCTACTCACCGGGGGCGGGGATGCTGGGCCAGGAGGGCTGTTCTAGGGCATCAATATGCAGGGGGAGGGAGGGTTACCTCTAGTCCATCACCACAGTCCCCTGGTAGTCAGATTCAGAGGGAAATAAGTCAGAATGAGGACATGCAGCTCTCAGTTTGGGTTGGCCTCACTGTGGTAGACTACAGGGGTGACTAGTTCGCAGGGGCAGGGTCGTAGGTCTGCCACTTCTTTGGTCCCATCAGCTGCAGTCCTACCATTTTCCAACTGCAGGGGCTACTGGTTGGGGAGTAGGATTACTAGTTGGAAACCTCATCTCATCTCAGTGGAAGCTTGACTGAGGTCTAACCTCAGGATAGAGAGTCAGAGGGTGGGCAGTTGGGGAAGGACATGAAAAGCCTGGCCTGGCTCTGAGCAGGTAGTAGAGGGGAACTGGCCAAGTGGTCCTGTGCTCTGGGATCCTTTTAGTTGTGGCGGCAGCAGCAGCCCCAGTGGAATCAAGGCTCCAGGAAGGGCCAGCCAGGGAGTGGATGAGCTATTATCAAGGGTCTGGGATAGTGCTGTACTTTGCTGAGCACAGGGAGCGCTGGCCAAGGGGAAACAATATGGGTCTGTGACCCCTGTAGCCCCTGCAGCAGCTGTCTACTCTGGTCAAATTGCAAGAAGGGTTGGCTTGGGAAGACTGTAGGCCTGGGTCACCTCTACATTACCCACCATGACCCCACTGTGATTAAATTTCAGTAGGGAGAATCGAGTCCCATTAATAGCAGTCCCACTGTGGTCAGATTCAAGGTGGTACTGGCTGGGAGCAGGATGATGGTATGTGGTTCTCACCCATAGGTGGGGAATGCCAAGCATAACGTACATGTCATGAACATCTCCACGGGAAAGAAAGTGAAAGGTGGCTCCAGCAAGCTGACAGGCCGCGTCCTCGCTCTGTCCTTTGACGCCCCTGGCCGGCTGCTCTGGGCAGGCGATGACCGAGGCAGTGTTTTCTCCTTCCTCTTCGACATGGCCACAGGTAGGCAGGTCCCAGGCCTTCATCTGAGTGCTTGCACTCCTGCCCTCCTGGTACACAGGTCTCCCCCTTACTTTTGTCTCCTGTCCCCTCCATGGTTGCAGGGAAGCTGACCAAAGCCAAGCGTCTGGTGGTGCATGAGGGTAGCCCTGTGACTAGTATCTCCGCCCGCTCCTGGGTCAGCCGTGAGGCCCGGGACCCCTCACTGCTCATAAATGCTTGCCTCAACAAGCTTCTGCTCTACAGGTCGGTCTCCCTATCCAGCCACCTGGAGATGTAGGGCCTGCCGCCTCCATCAGACTAGGAGGGGAGGCCTATCTCCTTCAACAGGCTAATTTCACTGAGAAAAGAGGTCCAGGTTCCTCCCCCTCTTCCTCGTTCTTAGCATCATTAATATAATGATGAGCTCAGTAGTGGCAGTAATAGAAATAGTAGTAGCTGGCACTTAGGTAACAGTTGCTGGTACCAGGTCCTATTCATAGCTTCTCATACGCATCACCTCATTTAATCCTCATAACAACCCTGTGAGGTGGGTGCTGTTATGACCATTTCACAGACAAGCGAACTGAGGTGTAAAGTGGACTAGGGCCCCTTAGAAGAGTGACCTGTTTTCCTTTCTCTCTCTCTCTCTCTTTTTTTTTTTTTGAGGCAGAGTTTACTGTCCCCACTCACATGTGTCATGTTTCTCAAATGCAGTTCTCAGCCTTAGCCACATACTGGAATGACCTGAAGGGCTCCCAACATTCATGACCAGGCCCCAATCCAAGTCAGGGATTTCAGAAGCTCTTGGGCAGGCTGGACATCAGTATATTAAAAGTTCCCCAAGTGTTGTCCAGCCAGGTCTGAAAACAGCTGCCTGACAGGATGCTTGCCATTTTGCTATTTTATTTTTCTTCTCCCCTTAAAAATTATTTTATACACAAACACTGACAATTTTTAATTTAAGTGTACTCCTGAGTTTCTTGCCTCTTTCCCCCATCCTCTGCCTTCTCTCATCCTCATTCCTGCCACACTGGCCGCCCCCTGCCATAGTTAAGCATAATAACAACTTCATATGTACTGTTCCATGCTTTACTCCCTCTCCCACAGTCCTCAGCATGTACACACCCACACATTTCTAAGGGAGAGTCATTATTTTACAGAAGTGGGTTCCTTTTACATCCTTTTCCACATCTCACTTTTCTCACCAGATGACGCTATGGACATGCCTCAGTTCATGCCTTTGAACAGCTGTGGGGTAGCCATGGTACAGGGGTGCCAGAGTTTGGTCAGCCATTTCTTCTCTTTGTACACATCTGAACACCAGAGCTCTTAGAGGCCCTTAGAAAGAGAAACTAGTGAATTACACTGCAGAGGCTTCCTATTTCTATCAACATTTAAAGTGTCCAAACTGTCACTAAATCACATACCAGCCCCTGCTTTACAGGTTTCTGCCATCATCTCAAAACTGGATTTCATGAACCTTGAAAAGAACTCAGGCACGGGGGTGGGGACACAGGCTACTGCACCATGCGTTCACCTCTGGGCTGAGGCCGTGCCCTGACCTGCTCTCATTCTCCCCTCAGGGTGGTAGACAATGAGGGGACCCTGCAGCTGAAGAGAAGCTTCCCCATTGAGCAGAGCTCACACCCTGTTCGCAGCATCTTCTGCCCCCTCATGTCCTTCCGCCAGGGAGCCTGTGTGGGTGAGTTCCATAGGGTTGGGGTGTCTGGGTGACTGAGGAGGGGCAGGCACTGGGGCTGGTGCTGGTGTGGCTCATATGTCATGACACCTTAATGCCCTGACTTCTGGGCCTTGAGACCTGTCATACCCCAACAGCCTTCCGCTTTGAACACAGAGCCCCAACCAGCCCAGAAACTTCATGGCATAAGAAACAGACTTCCCAAAGAGCTGAGAGACCTCACTTTCTAGACACAAAACCAAAACAGCCAGTTAACCTCCCATCTAGATAGGGCCCCCCTACACCTCCCCAGGCACGCTGGGACCTCATACCTTGGACATGACTCCCTCAACACCTAAGTCACCTCAGAGACTTCACGTCACCACGTGCAGCACCTCCTGATGACCTCTCCTTCTCACCTGGGCAGTGACTGGCAGCGAGGATATGTGCGTACACTTCTTTGATGTGGAGCGGGCAGCCAAGGCTGCAGTCAACAAGCTGCAGGGCCACAGCGCCCCTGTGCTGGACGTCAGCTTCAACTGTGATGAGAGCCTCCTGGCTTCCAGTGATGCCAGCGGCATGGTCATCGTGTGGAGGCGGGAGCAGAAGTAGGAGCCTCCCAGCCCTGCCATGTCCACCTTCCCACCTGGCCCATGCTCCAGCCTTGTGTTTGTAAATAAAGTTCCTGTGCTTGTACCGATGGCTGGCTCCCAGGGCTGCTGGGGGCAGAATAGTAGAGAGGGCAGCTCTAGGGCCCGAGATAGGAATGGCTTCACTTACTCATTCACTCATGCATGTATTGATTTATTCCTTCCTTCAAGAACCATTTACTGACTATCTGCCATGTCATGGGCAACACTTTAAGTGTTTTACGGTCATGCATTGGACGGACATTACTGAGTATTCACTGTGTGCCAGGAACTGTTCTAGTCTCTGGGGGTACTGCTGTGACCTAAACTGACAAATCCCTGCCCTCCTGGGGCTTGCTTTCTAATGGAAGCAGGTAGGTAACAGAAATATTTAATAGGTCAGCTAAAAATGATTGTTGTGAGGACAAATAAAGTGAGGATAGGAGATACCATTGCAGGAGTGGAAGGTTGGCCTCTTTTTGATGCCATGATCAGGGAAGACATTCCTGACTGTGGTGTTTAAACAAAGACCTGAATGCAATGAGAGGGAGCTGTAGTGCGTGGCGGAGGACAACATTCCAGGCAGAGAGAAAAGGCAGTGCAAAGGCACTGAGGCTGGAGTGTGCCAGGAGAGCGGTTGTAGAAGCGGGTGCAGGAGGTGATGAGGTTGGCCAGGCCCAATCCTGGAGGGCTCTGTGGACCATGGTGAGAACTTGGACTTTTTATCTGAGCGAGGGGTGAGTGACCAAACAGTTTTGAGCAGAGGATTCCTCTGTGTGCTGTGAAGAGAACATACTGGGGGGCAAAGGTGGAAGCAGGACAACCTGTCAGGAGACCCTGCAGTAGTTGAAGCGAGCATGATGAGGACCCGCACCAGGGTGGGGGCAGTGGAGGAGTTGAGGTGGCAAATGTTGGCTTCTACCACAAGGTTTCATCCTAGAAGTTTGCAGGGCTCTGCTGCCTCAGGGAGGCCCAGGCTTCCACTAGCCACTGCCTGGGCCTCACGTCTGTCTGTGCAGCAAGCAGGCTGTTGCCCACAAGCATGGAGCTGAGGACTTGGAATACAAGCCAGTATGGGACCAACCATGGACTCAAAAGCTGAGCTAGTGGCTTCTGCTGGGAGTGGAGGGGATGGGGCCTCTCTCCATCTCCAGAGGAACCCCAAACCACCCATACCTCCTGTCATGCCCACTCAAGACCCAAAGTCAAGGCCTGGAACTGTTCAGAGGCTACCAAGTGATGTTCAGTATTTCAGGGGAGCCCTGAATGAGAAGAGAAAGCTCAGGGTATAGACGGGACAGATCACCAAAATCCCTTGTCAATGACCTGAGTCACCAGATGTCAAAGTTGCTGGAGATGTCAAAGAGTCTCTTGGTCCAGCTGGCCCCTTCCCTTCACCTCCATGGGCTGCCATGTCTAGATGCATCAATGGGAAGGGTGGCTACCACCTTGAGTTCTCAGCATCAGTCCGCAGAGTCACAGAGACTCCAACCTGGCCCAACATCATTGAGCTGCTGAACTAACACCAGCAGTCTTGTTGAGGGAGGAAAAAAACCCTGTTTTTTTAAGCCACTGTTATTTGACCATGTGGTTACTTCAGAAGCATTTCTACCTGGTACAGCAGGTCCTTGAATAATATTTTGTCAATGTCATTTTGTAGAAATGTTGATGAAATGACATAGCAACTTAACTCTTATTTCTATCAATTAGCTTATGGTAAAATTGGTTTTATTATATGTTGTTTCACTTAAAGTACAGAACCTATCGACAGTGTTAAGTGAGGACTTGTGTACTTCCATCTGAGAGACCTTAAGGTAAATGGTGTGAGATGGGGCCATCAGAGAGCTGGACTGTTCACGATCATGGTCATGTATGCATGTGTGTGGGAGGGCCTCAAGACTACCCATACTCAAGGATTTGCTAGAAGGACTTTCATTCTCAGTGTACACATGATGATGATTTCCTCCAGCAAAAAGACACAGAGATCAATCAGCAAGGGGAAAACAAGTCCAGGGGAGACCATGCACAAACTTGCAGGGATCCTCTCCCAGTGGGGTTGCACAGGATACACTTAATTTCCCCAGTCCTAGGTTGTGACAGCACATGGGAAACATTGCCAATGAGGGAAGCTCCATAAGAGACTCAACATACAGTGTTTCTAATGGTGGCCGGTCACCTAGGCAGCCTCTCCCAGGCATATACATAACTTCCAGACTCCCAAAAGGGAATCAAGAGTTCAGCATAAACCACAGTGCTTGTATGAATGGTGAGAGAATGGTAAGAACCCTTCTGAAGTCTAAGTTTGCAAATGCCAGCTAAGGGCCAACCTTGCAGCAGACCTTTCCAAGGACAGCAGTTTAGGCCTGCTCTGTTAACTCTTCTGCCCAGTATGCGACACTAAAAAGATGCTCAGTTTCAGCAAAGGTCAGTGTATGAGCAAGATCATTCGGGAGAACTTCATTTATCTATTAACACTTTCTTCACACTCTTCTTGTTCTTTATTGAGTCTGGATTCAAGATGGCTGATTATGGATATTGTTATACATGACTTTGTGGGTTTTCTCATTGTGAAATTAATTCTGAGGTGGCAGAGTTGACATCCTGTTTTAAAATCATCTTCATGATATCTTTTCTTGATTTACAACCTATGGGGAAATAAATAATGAGCATGTAGTAAAAATAATCTTATTGATCAAATTTGGGCTTCTGTTAATTTGTCCATCATCACTGTGCCTCTGGTTAAACATCAGATCTGGAACTCTTAACCATTCTGCCATCAATGCCACTCTAGTCTTGCCTCCAATCCAGGTCTTCATTAACTGTTCCACATTTTTTGTCTCACTTGGAATCTGTGTTTTTTTACTTCATTAAGAGCTTCTCTGGTCTGAGCTTGAAGCTGGGCCTTAGTTGACTATTATCCCATTAGTGTACCACTGGTCAGCTCTCAAACCAGTGTCTCCCTGTGAAGTTCTACCAACTATAGTCTTCTGACCTGACTTTGAATTTTGTGATTCTGTTAATTGTCATGAGTGCCTTTTTGCTCCTTTCTAACCTTGAGGACCCTTAGTCTTGACCTTGAATCTGAGCATCCATTAATTATTTTACCATTAATACCCTCATGGTGCCAATTCCACATTGGGGTCCACATCCTACTCTGTGTTGCCCCAAGCAGGGGACAGTTGAACTGTAATGCAGGCCCCACAAGACCTTGGTGACCTAGTGGTCAGCTCTGAAGCAACCACTGCCAGTCAGAACGCAGGCCTGTTGGGAGGAAATGCCCAGCTTCGTACCTCTTCCCAGCTCAATCACCATGTGGAAAGGCCCAGTCAGGGCATAACCTTGGGAAAGGTGGCTCTCCAAAGCTGGGGCCAACCCTGTGGAGCTGACAGCTGCCCAGCAAGCACTTCCTTGACAGGGGTCTGGGTGGTGCCAGGAAAGTCATGAGGAAAGGGGCTGTGAAAAGAAACAGATATGCCACTTGGTAAGTAACTGGGGACCCAGGTAAAATCCTGGTCCCTCCATTACTCAACCCATGGTCATGAGTCAGTCACCTCACCATCATTCTGTGCCTGTTTTCTCCAAACTCAGTTGAGGGTTCGAGAGTCATTTTATTTATTCTGACATAAGTTGACTAAGTCTCTACAGTGTGCCAGGCACTGTGTCAGGACCAATAGTGAACAAAACAGGCAAAACCTCTGCCCTCAGGAAACCAACATTCCCAGTCACCCTTAAAATCCATCCAGTGATGCAGACTTGGATCAGAGGTCACCCCTGGCCTCACTTGAGATGATTGTTAGACACACAGTAAGCACCATGGCTTCAATGCATATTCAGACAGATGACAGGGGCTGGTGTGGAAGCTGAGGAAACAATTGGCTGGATTCACATAGTAACGGGAGGGAGCCACAGCAGGTTCTTGAGCAGGATTGCAAAGAGGTAAGTGGAGTGTTAGAAAGGTTATTGCACCAGCAGTCAATAACCAAAGTGCAGAAAAAAGAACTTTTTACTGCATATCACCCTTCTAACATAGGTCAAATAAGGGAAAATGTATAGCCAAGGTCAGGCCACACTGTGGGTCTAGCTCTGTGTGAAATGTTCATTTTTGGCTGGTTTGTAGCCAAGTTATTGCCTGTCAGTGGCAGCAATGGTTGGGGTTTTACTTTGTGATCTGACCATTTGGTGAGCTCTGTGAATGAATGAATGGATGAGCGACAGACAACAGGGCAACTGGTTTGTTAGTCTGCATCACTTGCAGTTCTTGCCCTGGGGCTAACAGTGTAGAAAATTGAAGCTTTAAGCTCTCTGTGTCTATGTGTCTGTCACTCAGTATGCTATCACTCAGTGTATAATGTTTTCCTGTCTCTGGAAGGCTTTAACAAATTATTTTGTGAAGTCTCTTAAATTAAAGGAGCTCTGTTCTGATTGGCACATACAAAGAAATAAGCACTTATATATATATTCCTAAAATTCCAAGAAAATGAGGAAATTGAACTTCTAATACTTTAAGTGCACTAGACTTAAAAAGATTCATCTTTCAGAAATTAACTTAGAAGCTTTTAAAGAATCCAGGTTGAGGCCCTGGCCGAGTAGCTCAGTTGAGTAGAGTGTTGTGCCGATATGCCAAGGTTGTGGGTTCGATCCCCAGTCAGGGCACATACTAGAATCAACCAATGAATGCATGGGTAAGTGGAACAACAGATCTCTCTCTCTCTCTCTTTCTCTCTCTCTCTTTTGCACAGTGACAAGAATTGAACAGACTTTGTGGGATGATTGCATTTTGAGCTGTGTACATGTCGAATTGCTGTATTGTACACCTGAAAGTAATATGCTATAGTATACCAAATGTACTTAGAAAAAATTTTAAATTTAAAAAGTGTTAACATTCATTTACTACCTGCCCCCTCAATCCCTCTCCCTGCCGAACACCACCACTATCCCCTTCCTCCCGCCTCCTGTTTGGAATAAATGTAGAAAAACATATCTACTGTGTCTTCTCTGGAATTTAAACAGTAATTGCTGCATTCCTACGATTGCGAGCTTGACTGCGCCCTTGCTTTCCATGCACCACCATCAGTGAGGAGGAAAGCAAGGGGCCTCTGGCAGAAAGAAAAGGGAATGTAAAAAGAAAGTCTGTTCCTTATCTGGCATAGCTTGAGACTGACCTTGGGGTGCATGATTCCCCCACAATGAAGAGCCAAGAGACCCCATTGGAGTTGTGGAACAATAGTCTTTTTTTTTAAGATTTTATTTATTTATTTCTTAGAGAGGGAAGGGAGGGAGAAAGAGAGAGAGAGAGAAACATCAATGTGCAGTTGCTGGGGGTTATGGCCTGCAACCCAGGCATGTACCCTGACTGGGAATCGAACCTGCGACACTTTGGTTCACAGCCCACGCTCAATCCACTAATCTACACCAGCCAGGGCTAGAACAATAGTCTTGAAAGTCCTTAGAGGACGTAAACATGGCCCAGAGACTG